GAAGAGGAGGAGGAGGAGGAGAGGACACCTCGTTGGTCCACCGCTGGTTTATTTTACTGAATATGAAACTAACTGAGTGCAGATTTAAATTCTATGAACTTTAGCTTCACCTCGTCTGTGCTTTCATTTATTTCATATTTTGCCTTTAAAGCGTTTATTTGTTCTATGATTGTATTTTAAATGTGAATGTTTTCACACAGTTTATTTTCTTGTTAGATGCTTCAGTGGTAAATGATCCAGTTAGTTATTTAGACGTCTGAAGCCGACGTCACAGGAGCTGAACAGACGTGAAGTGTTCCAGGCTGCGCTGAAGGCAGCAGACGGACTTCATGGAGGAACCAGCAGGAGGAGGCTGGTGTGAGAAAAGACAGCTCACCACGGGTCATTTCAACTTCTCAGACACGCTGAGGAACAAAAAGGTTCTGTTTCTTTACTAAATCTTGTCAATACGGTTTAATCCTGGCAGTTTTCAAAAACTCTTGTCAATGAAACGTCTGGACTTTTAGCTTAAACTTGGTTAATTTAATATAAACGATGAGTTCAAGGGCTGTTGGAAAACTGAGAATTCTCTCTGATTTCAGTTTCTGGCTGACAGATGATGTAATATTGCAGCTTTTATGTCTGTCAGACTCTCTGGTGGACTTTGGGCTGAGCTTGAACTCGTTTACTGAAACTATCGACGTGTTTCCAGGAATCTCTTCAGTGTTTTATTGCATCACAGCGTGTCTGAAACACAGAAACACTCTATCTCACCATCCACTCGGTTCTGGAGGTCGACGTGGCCTCGGATCCCTCGGTGGTTTCGTCCACGGAGCTCAGGGAGAGTCGGGCCGGAGACGGAGGAACCCAGCCGTGGACCGGGAAGGAGGCTGAGGACGAGGAAGCAGAGAGGAAGTGAGAGTCTGGAGCTCCATGAATTACTCATCAGCCTCCCGTCTGGGCTCAAGTCTCTGATCCGTCATGCTTTATTCATCTGCATCCGGCTGCCAGTCACATCTCAGCCGGAGGTCCGACGGGCCTCATGTGGAGGCCGACCAGGAGGCTCTAATGAGAACAAACAGGCGCTGAAATACCACCAGCTCACGGAGCTGCTGTCTCAGGTGTGTCAGGTGATTAAGGCCAGAAGCTCGTTAACCAACGAGTCGCTCCAAACTCGTCTTTGCTGTCGTGTGGTTCACCTTTAAAGCTTCTTTATTCTCTGAATTGGAATTTGAATGTTTGTCTTTCCTGTTTGGACTTTCTTTGTAAAACAATAACTTCAGCAGCTGCAGGTGACGTTAAAACTGAATGACAAACACATCAGTGATTATAAATAAAGGAGGAGACGCTGACATTTTAGAGTCCAGCAGGCAAAGAATCAGTTTATTTCACATTTCAACCAAAGGAGCCGTTTGTTGTATTTTATTGTGTTCATCTTTTACTGTCTGATGCTGAGGTTCATTAGATTCTGTTCATCCGGTGCAGAAGTTCTGATTTCACCACATTATTCATCGTTTGCTGATGAATGATGTCATATTTCAGCTTTTATTTAAAGAAACGTGACTTTGAGGTTTATTATCGACGTGTTTCTGTGTTTTCATCTTTTGTCTGGTGCTGATCTTGAGAAACGTTTTAAACCTGCTTCACTGGAAACCATTAACTTCTCAATGAGACTGATTTTGATGAAATATTCAGATTTTGGGCCCAGATCTGGATACGAGACACGAATGCAGAACGAGTGCAGCTGATCGATGGCGTAGCATCAGAGAGGTTTTATGTCTCTAAACTTGTCGGCAGGTTTTAGAGCTCAGGAGGTCTCCGGTCTGTTTATTTCATTTTATTGCATCAATCTTCTGTCGACTGATGATCATTCTAATTAACTGGAAACAGGTTTAAACTATTTTAGCTGCTAAAAAATGACAACAAACTGATGTGAGTTAGCCGCTGATGCTAACTAGAACAAAGTGATGTAGATGAAACATCAGGATTTGGGTCCATTTAGGACATAAATGCAGAAACATCAACGTCGTCGTTCCTCATCGTGTTCATCAGCTGGCGTCTCTGTGCAGCAGCTTTCAAACAACCAGGTCCAGAAGGTTCCTCTTTTTTCTGTCACTTTACAGTCACGTTGAATCATTGAGGTTTTTTATCGTGTCATGATTGTGGAGGTCAGATTTATTTGGAAGAGCTGAACACAGCATCACAAGCTGCCGTCTGTTCTCTGTACGGAGCCTTCAAAGCAGCTGCTGTTTGGAACCAACCCACACCTGTGCAGGTAACCGCCTCTGGTCGCTCAACACAACTTCAAATTGTGAAGATTCTCTTTGTTCTGAGCACATTATAGGCGTTTGTTTGCTGTCTGTGTCTGTTTCAAACCACATCTAAAGCACCTGAAGACGGCCTGGACCTTTATTTGTTCTCCTCTTTAGACTCAGACGGTGTCAGAACCGGCTGCTCTGGGACCTCTTAGCTCAGAGGAATCCGCTGCAGAGCTTCTAGCTCTGGTGTTTGCAGATGGAAGGTGTCAGAGTGGCTCTAATGGAGAGCAAACAGGCCCGTAAACATCGTCAGGACCAGCTGTGGAGGCTGCAGAGCCCCCTGCTGGCCCGGCCCGGCGCTGCATCCTGAGCTCATGCAGGATCGTTTTTCAAACCATTAGCTGTGGATGCGGACGGAGAGGCTGCTAATGCTCGACCCGTCACTCCCAGAGCTCCCAGTCCAGCCCATCAGCTCCTCTTTATCAGCACATCTTCAGATCGGATCAGAACCATCCAGCGTGAGCCTTCTGTCAGCAGCGGAGCGCCACAGCTCTGATTTCAGCAGGGAGCAGTAATTTAATGAGGTTAGAGCGGCGACATCATGTCTCCACAGAGCACTGCGCTGCCCTGGAGGCTGGAAACGGAACCAGAGTTCTGTTTCTCTGCTGCCGGGTTCTGTCCCGATGCTGTCGCTGCTGCAGCAGGAAACTTTAAACGCCTGTTTGCTGCAGCTGAGAGCAGCCGGATCAGTTTAAACCAGTCAGATCTGAACAAAGGGCCTCCAGAACCTCCTCAGAACATCTGGTTCTGTAGCTACAGTAACTTTAGTTTATTTAATGACGCCAGAGAGGTCCAGGTCCTGGAAGTCCACAGAGGAGGGTCCAGATTGATCACCTTAATGGACTTTTTCCATCATTTCTGAGCCTCAGAACTTCATCAGAACAGCAGATAGACACATGACATTTAGGAGGAAGAACACATCTGGGTTCTGCTAGAACCTGACACCAGATCAGTTCTACATCCATCCAGGTGTCTCAGTCTGAACACTGGACCTGGTTCTGTTCATGTCCTCTGTCAGCAGCTGGTAGCATCAGTATTATGGGATGGATCATAGTGGTACCAGTTTAATGTCTATGACACAGAGTCATAGAAACAATCACTGGTACCCTGGATGTGGTTCTGGTTCTGATCAGTCACCAGAGGAAACTTTGCAAAGTGCATTCTGGGTAAACTTTCCAGGCTCATATCAGCATGTGTGATGGTGGTTGGTCAGAACCAGTTCTAGACGATGGAAGGACCGGTTTACCTCCAGAACCTACCAGAACCATCTGTAGACAGGATCCACTCTGAGCAGAATCATTAACTATTACAGTCGTATAACTGCTCCGGATCCAGATCACAGACAACGATCCTTAAACATCACGTAGGTAAAAATGAGACTTTCTAAGAATTCTTTCCAGGTTTCTTCTGAACAGAACCGCTCTCACAGGTTTAAGCCCGGTTCTGTTGTCTTTGGTTTCATTACAGACGTTTTTGTTCATCAAACAGAGCTAACAGGAAAATGCAGGTTTCTGCCAGACACACACTCGCTGCCTTCACTGTGTTGTTCTGTCTGAGCAGAACCAGGTGACCCGGTGTCTCCCTCTACAGCAGGAGGGTCAAACTGCAGCCGGTGGGCCTGAACCATCTGCTGCAGCCGGTTTCATCCCAAACAAGGCGGCTGATGATCATCTGAGCTGGATGTGAGGGTGGCGGCGCTGAGCGGAGCAGCAGCAGCGGGTCGGGTTGGATGAGCTGCTGGCGCTGATCGACGAGTTCAAGTGTCTGACTGAATAGAAGTCACGCTGCAGCCCATAAATTTAGTGGCTTGTGTTTGTTTGTCAGAAGAAGCTCAGAAACGCTCCATCGGGTCTTAAATTAGACGGTTTACGTCAGAGGCATCGTCGGACGTGATCCGATCTGGGCTCCAGACGGTACCGTGACATCTGACGGCTCTGCTCAGCGCTGCTGCACCGTCACGGCTTCGTTTCAGCTTATCGTCAGTTCAGGACACTGATAACGTCTACATGCCTTTACATGTGGCCTGCAGGTCAGCAGGCAAACTTCCAACGCACCCTAAACGCCTCACATCCGTCACTAGATGCTACGCTCACTGATGCTACTTCCTGTACTTGTCTCACACCCATGTATAGGCACTACAGTTTACTAATGTTCCCTAAACGCCTCACAAGTTTAAGTAGATGGTAGAATATTTCAGATAGTCCCTAAATGTCTCACATCCACCTGGAGATGTTCCCTAAACGCCTCACATTTATCAGTAAACTATACATTTTACAGATGTTCCCTAAACGCCTCATTCATCAGATCGATGCTATAATGCTATAATTTACTGAATCTCCCAAAAGGCCTCATCACCATTGGTAAATACTATAATTTTCCAATGTTCCCTAAATGCCTCACATCCATTTGTAAATGCTACAATGTTTAGGGAACATCAGTAAAGTGTAGCATCCGCCGACAAATGGTACAATTTTCCAGTGTTCCCTAAATGCCTCACACCCATCGGTCCATGCTACCAATGTTCCTTAAACGCCTCACAAGTTTAAGTAGATGGTAGAATATTTCAGATAGTCCCTAAATGTCTCTGAATGTCTAGATGCTTATTTTCCAATGTTCCCTAAACGCCTCACATGCGTCAGTAGCTGCTGCCCAGAGAAGCCTCCAGTCTCCGTCAGTCACAGCAGCGAAGCAACCAAGGGTTCAAACATCACCTCTGTAATGAGGCGGCGGCCCGGTGCCGGTCAGCGTCCTGGACCTGGGCCTCTCGCCCCTCAGCCGGACCGTCCCGCCCAGCTGGGTCGCCTCGGACAGCGAAGGCAGCATGTCTCCGCGGAGCATGGCCAGGTCGTGCTCGGAGAAGGACCGGTCCCTCTTCAGGGGCGTCGGGGAGCTCTCAGCCCTCCTCAGCTCGCCGTTGTCTGGAGACTCCTCCTCCTGAGGACCAGGGGAAGAACAACATGAAGTTATTCACAACATAAAACAGTTCTCTAGGGGATGAAGGTCTTTATCTGCTGGACTCTGCTGCTCGGGTTCCTTCCATTTGTTTTCTCCAGAACAGTGTTTTCTGGCTCCTCCAGGTGGATCCTGAGATGGTCAGGTTATACAGAATGTCCTCCTGAAGTATCCCAGCACCACAGTGAAACGTGTCTCCGCTGCACTAGGATCTGAGGTTTCCAGAAGACCCAGCAGGAGGCAGCCAGGAGGTCTCAGACCTCCTCCAGACGTCTGAGCTCCTCACTTCGTCTCTAAAGTCGGCTGCATGCGACATAAAAACCTCCAGGTCACGGAAATACTGCACAGTTGAAACACTTAGAGTGGGTCTCTGGCTGCATGTTGCTTCAGTTTCATTAGCGTGAACTTCACAGAGATATTTAAACCCAGATGGAGCTGCTGCTCACCAACCTGCTGACGGCTTTGGTTTTATTCTGTTTGCTTGTTTGTCAGCAAAATGATCCAAAACTCCTGAACTGAGCTACATGAAACTTGGTGGAAAGATGTAGCGTGAACAGAGGAGTAATCTATTACACTTTGGTGTGGATTACTGCCTTTGACTCTACCAGAGAGGGCTCTGGCCTCGCCGGGCTCCCGTCTAGTTCACTTTAATTCCTGCTCAGCCTGAACAACTCTGATCTTATGTTGAAATGCAGCAGAGGTCAGCGTGTGATCAGTTCTATGAGTTCATAGTGATGCAACGGAGCAGACTCTGTGAGGAAACGTTCAGTCTGAGATGAAGCCTGTAGAGCTGGAGGTCTACGTCTCCAGGATAACTTAAGTCTGACTTCTTTAAACCTCCTGGAAGTGTGCTTCATTTACAGCCATTGTTGTGGTTTTGTGGCTTCTATTGTTCCTCCAAGCTTTGACCGTCAGGACCACGGGCTGTATAAGACCTGAACCTGCATTCTCTCCACCAGCCAGCAGGGGGCGACTCTTCTGGTTTAAATGAGGTCTGATTCTACAGAAGTCTACGAGACAATTCCATCATTTTCACTTGATTTATCACCTCAGGAAATATTTTCCTAGAAAGTGTATGGTCTCAATTAAGCATAACTGATAGTTTTGTGGTTCTTTTTGCAATTATTGGTAATCGAGAAAGATCAATAACCAATATTGATTAACTGTTGTATATTAACAGAGCGTCGCCGGGGGGAGGGAGGTCTGGGACGACCTGCTCCGCTTGCTGCCCCCGCGACCCGACCCCGGATAAGCGGAAGAGAATGGATGGATGGATGGATATTAACAGAACCTGTTGTTCATAACTAGGACACTTGTTTAATAAGGATTACTTGACTGAATGGAATATTTCTTATTGTTTTCAAGGCTCTGTTTCAAGCTCATTTATGGCTGACACCTAGCTTAGCCGCTAGCCGTTAGCATAGTGAAAAGCAGCTAATGTGCTGATTTGCGGAGATGTTTGAGAGCCGAGTCACAACAGGCTGATTAGGATTAATCTGACTTTAGAGAGACGTTATGGTGATGCAGATAGCGTTAGCTGCAGGCTAACAGGCACAGCTAACCTCACAGCTAGTATTAGCCTAGCATCGAGTATCAAAAGATGCTTATTTCAACTTATGCTTCGGCAGATAAACTACAGAAGCTTTAAATGCTAAATTAAACTGATTGGTGGTTTTCATCCAGTCAGAGGCTCGTTTTTGTTCTTTCTAAGTCAGACCTTCTCGTTTCTCTCCTGCTTTCTACCAGCTCAGAGTAAAACTCCGCTTGTGTGTGAAAACACAGGATTGATGGAAACTCGACACCAACGTTTGGTCCAGTTTGGGAACCGATACGACCATGAAATGAAGCTAAAGCTGCCAGGAGAGCTGGTTGTGATTTATGTGTGTGGATTTTCCCAGTTTGGTGCCGTTAAAGAGGACCAGTCCGCCGTGGGTCAGTACTGAAGGAAACCTCAAACTGTGGTGATGTTTTAGGCAGAACTACTGACATCTATTTGCTTTCTGAACATCTGCTACAGGCAGAATCCTGATATTTCAGTTTAGAATCTGATTTAGTTTCCTGGTGAACTGAGCGAGACCAACACATTACATCTCATCCTCCCAGATGTTAGCATTACTTAAAGCCTGATGTGCTTTGAGTGGCTCGGCGGCCGATGGGATCTGCAGTATGTGTTTACTGTCTGCAGAACACGACTGGAAGCCGAGAGGTGACCACGGAGGAGGCGTCGAACTCCTCACAGACTTTTAACGAAACATTTTTCTGTAAGACGGTGAGAGAAACGAGCAGAAGACGGATGATACCAGACCTCCTCCTCCAACCTGCAGCACGTCATGCAAATGTGGAAGTGAGACGCAAAACAGAAAACGCTGTGTTCTCCATGAAGCAGGAGCTGGTTGCAGCTCTGGGAGGACTGATTTCAAAATGCAAAAGCTTGAAAGGGGAGTTCTGATGTAACGCAGTGAGAAACGTTTCCCAAGTCGCTGAGTCTTTGTGTTGTTGTTTCTGTCTCGCCTCAGAGGAGTCCTAACCCACTTATTCTGACTACCAGAGCTGCTCCTTGTCTCACCTCAGATATGTTCATCTCCTCCATCTCGGCCAGAGTCGGGGCCTTGAGCAGGATCCGAGGTCGGGCCGGCGGCCGGAGGTCCGCCACCGACAGGTCGATGCAGGACGTGGATTTGACATTGCAGGGACACGTCTGAGTCGGGCCGGCGGCCGGAGGTCCGCCACCGACAGGTCGATGCAGGACGTGGATTTGACATTGCAGGGACACGTCTGAGCGAGGCAGGGCAGCGAGCCAAACGCTGCGAGACACAAAGGCCACAGTCCATCAGTCCATCGCACACCAGAGACCGGTACCGCCGACCAACGGTGGCGCTGCGTTTAAACCGACCTCATTTCAAGCTGTGCTCACAGAGAAATATAGAAAAGTTTTCTGTTTAAAAGGAGAACAGGCAGCAGAAAGTCAGAAAACAATAAAAAAAGAGACGAGAATGAACAGAAACAAAAGCAAAAGGGCTCCACGGACACACAGGGCAGCAAGGAAGTGTTCAAACGGACTACAATGAACACGACCCGATGCTTCTGCACAGGAAACAGATAAAACCAGCTGCTAGGACTCCTGGATGCAGCGAGACAAAAAGCAACGACAAAGAGACACTAGAAGAGATGTCAAATAGCAGCAAAATGACCATAAAGAAACAGAACACGAGCAGAAAGAGAACAAAACCGACTAAAGGAGACACAGAACCAACGAGACAAACAGCTGCAATAACACACAAAGCAAGCAGACAGAAAAGCAAAGCGACCACAGAGACACAAACACACGCCATCGCTGTGCAGGAGTGATGAAGCCATCTGGTAGAGACGCTACGAGATGCACAACGGGGCAGCGAGGAGTCACAAAACAACCACAGAGACGCAAAATGAGCACAGACGCTGATTCAATGAAGACGAAGCCGACTGGGAGAGACACCAGAACACCGCCGGATGACAAACGTGGCAGCAAAGAGACTAAACACCATCAGAAAGAGATAAAAGTGATTCATGCAAAACGGCTGCAGAGACACACAGAATGACCAGAAAGAGGTTAAAACTGACGAAAAGAGACTGAACAGGAGCACAAACAGACGCTCCTCCGCCACCTGTTAGCAGCACAAACACACAGAGACGGACGGACGTCGATGCAACACGACAGGAAAGGAACACAACGCACAAAAACAGCAGCTTTCACCTCAAACCTGCAGAAAGGAATCACAGAACCCAGCTGGGCTCAGCATCTTTGAACTCTGTTTGTTTCACTGCCTCACAGCTCGACACCGTTTCATGAGCGGTGCACACGGTCCAGCTGCTCCTGACTGAGTCCAGCAGCATCGTTCAGATTCATGCTGAGAACAAGACGACAAACGAGACGCTACTGGTGCTGCAGGGTCAGCTGACCACGCGGCCTTCAGGACGTCAGACCAGCGTCATGCGGCTGCGTTCTGCTCAGAAAACATATCAAGTGACTAAAACAGACGGAGCCAAACAGACGTAGCACCAGTTCTACCAGAGCACCGACAACCACAAAGACACAAAACAAGCAGAAAGTGAAGCGAAAGGAGACAAACAAAACGAACACAACAGGACGACTGAGTGCACAGAAGACACACAAACGAACCACAAAGAGGCAAAAGACAATCAAACGGGATGAAAACAAACACAAAGGGATGCAAATGACAAAACAAACACACAAAAAACAGACTGAAAGAGACACAAAATGAACCACAAACAGGTAAAACCAGCAGGTAGAGACAGAAAAGCACGACTAGATGCAGCAAAGAGACACACAACGACCACAAAGACACGCAAAAACCGACGCCAACAGACACACAGCGACCACAAAGACACGCAAAAACCGACGCCAACAGACACACAAAAACCACAAAGACACACAAAACCAACGCCAACAGACATACAACAGTTGCCTGAAAACAAACACCTCAAAGAGAGAAACATCAACAAAGAAAGAGATTAAAACACACTAAAAAAGATGCAACATGACAAAATAAACACACAAAAAACAGACTGAAAGAGACACAAACTGAACCACAAACAGGTAAAACCAGCAGGTAGAGACGCAGACGCAGCACTGGAGGGAAAACGCTGCTCAGACACACAAAACAAGCACAAAAATTAACACCAAATAAAGGAATAAACAGACGCTGATCCAGTGAAGCCGTCTGGGAGAAACACCAGAACGCCGCCGGATGACAAACGTGGCAGCAAAGAGACTCAACACCATTAAGCAGAGATGAACACAGATGAATGCCAAACGGCTGCAGAGACACACAAAGTGAGCAGGAAGAGGTTAAAACGAACAGAAAGCGATGCAGAACCACGCATGAGGGCAGCAGCCTGAACAGGAAGCTGCTGCATCACTGCGACCTTCACGTGGAACAGCTGGTCGATATCTCTGAAAGCAGAAACCGTCTGCAGCGGTCCTGCAGCTCCAGACGCTCAGGCTGCAGACGTCCAGCTCTCTGGTTCAGAGCAGCTTCACTGGTGTCTGCACGCAGCTGCTCTGAAGCTTTACAGAAGCTGCAGCAGAACCATCGGCTGTGAAAAAGCTTCAACCAGCAGGAACATCTCAGGAACCATCAGAGTGACGAGACGCAGCGTGCAGCCGCTCCGTCCGTCTGTCTCCGCATCACTTCCTGTATCGATTTTAAAATCATCTGAGGAGACCTCACAGCCGCCGACTGGTCTGAAATATTTCCAGCCCGTGAAGCAGAACTCTCAGGTTCTGTTTCAGCTCGTTGAGAAGTTCTAAGGTTCTGTGGAGCAGCTAGAAGTGTTGAAATGTCCCTTTATGTTTGAACCTGGCTCTTGAACAAAGACGAGGACGTGGAGCTGTGAGGCCTGACTACGAGCTGCAGACACCAAACACTCGTCTGGGTTGAACCGTCCTGTTAGAACACAGCGTCTCAAAGTTCTGGACGCTTGCACGTCGTGACTGTTGGGTTCACCTGAAGGCGCTTCAACTCGTCGGTCTTCATCTGAGCAGACATCACATCTGAACACTTCGTATCCGTTATTGTTTTCTGTTCATTAAGTTCGGTTCTTACGTCTGGCGCTGGGCGGGTCGACGGGTCGGAGCTTCCTCTCCTGCTTGATCTCGGCCAGAACCCGGTCGTGGAGCGACTGGTGCTGAGGAGGAGGAGGAGGGAGGCTCCGCTCTGAAACCTGGAACAGAAACCATCCGTCAGACCCACACGGCACAGAAAGGACCACAGAACACCAGCAGATCAAGTTCACTCATGAAGTTCTACACGTCTGGTCGCTCCAGAAACAGACTGAAAACTGGAGGAACATGGTGACAATCAGAAAGTGTAGAAGTTTGAGAATACCTACACATATCTTTAACTAATACATCTACAGTCCAACCCAGTGACAGAACCGTGTCCTGAGCTTCATCTGGACATTATTCAGTGACGTCTGGTTTTTACATGTAAATGGATCCTTTTCTCTGCTGCTTCACTTCATCGGCTGGAACCCAAAACATCTGACAGTAAAATATATTTACTGTTATTATAAATATTTTCCCTTTAAAATAACTAATTACAGGAAAAATCTGTAAAATAGCCACTAATGATTTAAC